CCCATCCCATCCCATCCCATCCCATCCCATCCCATCCCATCCCATCCCATCCGCTGTGGAAGCTGCCTGAGGGTCACTGGGAAATGTCACCGTCTCCATTCTGTGGGTGGTTGCTGGGTGCCAAGTGCTGTAGGTGAGGGGACATCGGGGGTGGTTTCAAGTATGATGGATGGTGTTGGGGTGCTCAGATGCCCCAGTGAATGGAGGTGTTAGGGTTCTGAATGTGATATTTGGTGTTGGGGTGCCCAGGAGATGGGACAAGGTGTGATTCCAAGCACAGTGAGTGGTGTTGGAGTGTTGAGTTAATGGATTATCATGGGGTCCTAAACATAATGAGTGGAGTTCGGGTGCGGAGGTGATGGGTGTGGGGGGGTTTTAGGTGTGATGGGGGGTATTGGGGTGCCAGAATTATGGGAGAAATTGGGTTAAAATGTTATGGGTAGTGGTGGAGTCGTGAGCATGATGGGTAGTGTTGGGATGCTGATGGGAAGTTTTGGGTTCTAAGAGTGGTGCTGTCTGTTGATCCCAGAGGACATGCTGGGAGGGGTTGGGATCCCAAGTGTGGTGAGTGGTGTTGGGGTGCGAAGCACAATGGGTGGTTTGGGGTGTTGAGGTGTGGTTCCAAGTATGTCCCCCACTCCCAGGACCCTCTGGAACGGGAGCGGGCTCTGCAGCTGCAGATTGCTGAGGCCTCCCGCCGGCTCTGCCATGAGGAGAACATCGACCGGCGGGTGCGCAAAAGGCGGCAGACAGCAGCGCTCCGGGAGGAGCAGAAGCTGCGTGACTTGGAGCAGGTCCTGAGCCAGCGGCGGCTCCTGGCTGGGCAGAGGGACACTGGCACTGCTGAGGGTGAGTCCCCCAAGTGTGAGCTGATGGGGGGATGCTGTAGGGCAGGGAGGCAGAATGAGGTGCTGCTTGTTTGGGGACTGCACCGGGATCCCCCATTCTCCATGAATGAGCCCCACTGGATGCAGCCCAGTCCTCCATCCCAAGTGTGTGCACCCCTCTGGATGCACCCCAATATGCCATCTATAGTGCCTACATCCTTGTTCCCCAWCCCTGGTAAATGGGCCTCCCTGGATGCACCCCAGTTTCCCATTCTTGATGAATACACCCCCTGGATGCACCCCAACTTTCCATCCCCTGTGAATAGAGCCCAGTTCTGACCCCAAAGAATGTKCCCCTCCGAATGTCTCCCAACATACCCCATGGGGTAGCCAGTTGGGGTGAATGCACCCCAGTTCCCTATCCCTGTTGAATACACTCCTTGAATGCCCCCTGGAATCCTGTCCCTGGTACACTCTCATTGTCAATGCACCTTGTTGAAGGTACCCCAATACATTATCCCTAGTGGTTGCACCCTCATGCGTGCACCCCAAAACTTCATCTCCAATGCGTGCACCCCAACTCACCATCCCTGGTGTATGTACTACCTTAAATGCACCTCAGAACTTTGTCCCCAGTGCATGCACCCCAATAAACCATTCCTGGTGTATGTACCCCCTGAATGCACCCCAAAATTCCATCTCTAGTGCATGCACGCCAATAAATCATCCCCAGTGGTATCGCACTCAATGTACCCCAGTACTTCACTCCTGCTGCTTGCACCCCAATCAGCCATCCTCAGTGCTCACACTCAGAGGGGGCCAGGATGTGGCCCAGGTACTGTGTTCCCATCCCAGTGACAGCCATCCAAGGGATTCCCCATTCTCTCTGTCCCTGTCCCCTCCAAGGACTGGGGCCACTGTGGCAGTGGCTCCTTCCCTGCTGGTACCCCTGACCTTCCCAACCCGGGCAGGCTGGGAACCGCACATGGCTTGGTAGAGCCGGCCCGGCCGGTACCGCCGCCATCCTGGAGCATGTTGGGACAGGTGGCGTGGGAGAGAGGAGCGGAGGCCCGCGGGGACGCGCTGGGTGGTGGCGGGGCCGTGGGAGCGCTTTGGCACCCGGAGGCGGCCCTGGCTCCTTTCTCACAGGGCCCTGCCCCACAGAACTCAGTGCCTCTGACGAGAGTTCCCTGTCCGACACCGGCCTGCTGGAGGATGGTGAGGGGGCTGTGGGGACTGGGGGTACACTGGGGTACCCCTTGTGTGTTTCCTTCATCCCAGCCCTTCCTGTATCCCCTCCATCCCAACCCCCTCCATTCCAYCCCTCTCTATGTGTACCCCCATTCTAAACTCCTCCATCCCAGCCTTTCCTGTGTCCCTTCTATCTCAACCCCCCCCGTGTCCTCTCCATGACAACCCGCACAGGTCCCTTCCATCCCACTCCCCTGCCATGTGTCCCTCTGTGCCATTCCCCTGTGTATCCTTTCCACCCCAACCCTTCCACATGTCTCTTTCATCCCAACCCCCCCATGTGTCCCCTCCATGCCAACCATCCACCTGTTCCTTCCATGCCAACCCTCTCTTTGTGTCTTCTCCATCCCAATCCTTCATCTCTCCTGCAGAGGACACACAGCCGCCAGGACCTGCCATCCCACAGAGCTCCCCATCTCCCAAGAACCCCACCAAGGAGGAGGATGAAGGGTTGGGGACTCTGATGGTCCCACCCCACTCCTGGCGGGAGACCAGCCTGGACAGACCCTACGAGAGAGCCAAAAATCCTGGCATTGACCCTGAGGATGGGGAAACCCAGAGCTCCCAATGCTATCTTGGGTCCCTTAGGGCTGCCCCCACCAGCCCCATGGCCCCCAGTAGCCCTGATCCCACAGGTTCCCTGGTGTCCAGGATGAGAGACCCTTCCTACCAGTTTGTCCCCATCCAGACCCTGGTGCTGTGCCGGCAGGCAGGTTCCAGTGCTCCCAGCACCCCTGAGCCATCAGGACGCCGGGGACAGACCCAGTCTCTGAGGTATGTCCTGAACATGGGGACGATAGACAAGGGCTTCTGGCAAGGGAGAATGGAGATGACCCCATGGAGAAGGGGGACAATCCCATGTGGAGGATAGAGCTTAGTCCATGGGAAGGAGGATGGGAATAACCCTGTGAAGATGATGGAGCTCAGCTCCGGGAGCAGATGTTGGAAATGATCACATAGGAAGGATGGAGATAGCCCTATGGGGAGCAAGATGGAGCTAAACCTATTGGAAGGAGGGTGAGAGTAATCCTGTGGGAGAGGATGGAGAGAACCTCATGGAGATGATAGAGCTAAACCCACGGGGAGGAGGATGGAGATAATCCAAGCCTTTCCCAGGGCTCACCCTAGCTTTGGGGTGAGGAGAAGGGTCCTCCTATAGCTGCAGTGTCCTGCCTGCAGGGTGGACCCATGCTGGCAGCCGGCCGAGCCACGAGGCCGCAGCACTGCACCCCGCCGGCGCCCCACCTACTACACGGTCACTGTGCCCATGTCCTGCCTGCCAGCCCCCGGCCCTGCGTGCTGCTCTGGCTCAGATGACAGCAACTCTGACCTCTCCAGCATCTCCCATGCCACCTCCCCAGGCAGCAGCAGCCCCGACGTGTCCTTTGCAGTCCCGCTGCCCCTTGCCGAGCCCGGTTACTACCCGCGGGGTGCTCTCCAGTTCCTGCCACCCGCTGGCCCCGCAACGTTCCTGTATGAGCAGGATCTGGCCCCGCTGCGCTACCAGCGCCTGGTGCCCTCACGCAGCCGCATCGTGCGCACGCCCTCGCTCAAGGACTACGCACCTGCTGGGGCCCGGGGGCTCTCCAAGGCCGCCGTCACCGAGGAGCTCAAGTCATGGCACCAACGTGCCCGCCTCAGAGGTGCCCGGCCCCACTCCCTTGACCGGCAGGGAGCTTTCCGGAGACCCCATGGTGGGACCACTAGGGACATGCCTGTTGCTCGTGGAGTCCTGTCACTGGTTCAGGTAGAACATGGGGTCTGGCTAGGGCAGGGATGGGAGGGTGGRAGAAGGGAGTCCCCCTTGGTGCTTGACTGCAGGTAACCCTGAGGTGGTTGTGGGGACCTGTGGCTCTGGTGGGGTCCTGTGAGGATTCCTATCGCAGGACTGAAGCCCTGAGGGGGTCCATGGGCTCCTATGAGGGTTGTTGGGGCAGGACTGGGATCCCACAAGGGATCCTGCCACAGGACTGTGATCTCAGGAGGGTCCTGAGGAGAGGACCAAGGTCCTCAAAGGTCCTTTGGGGCAGAATTTGGGTCCCAGAGGGGTCTGAGGGGAGGACTGTGTTCCTGAGGAGGTCCAGCAGCCAGGACCAGGGTCTTGTGTGGGTCCTGGGAACAGAAGCAAGGCTCTTTAGGGTCCTTTGGGGCAAGAAGAGGACCTTCTGAAGGTCCCGTGGGCAGGTTTGGAGACCCATGCTGGTCCCAGAGGCAGAACCAGGACTCCTGGGGCAGGACTGAGATCCCATATGGGTCTCTGAGGTAGGTAGGACCAGGACCTGAAGGGAGTCTCTGGAGCAGGATTTGGATTCCATGTCGTTGACTTCTTTCCCTTGAAGGTCTCAAGGGCAAGACCAGGACCCTACAGAGGTTTCTGTGGCAGAACTAGGGTCCCACAAGTGTCTCACGGGAAAGATCAGGATCTTAAGGGGGTGATTGGGGTCCCATCAGAGTCCCATGGGAAGGACCAAAACTTCAAGAGGGTTCCTAGGGCCATGTGAGTGGGTCCCTCCTGTCACACCCAGGTTCCCRCAGGCAGGACTCAGGTGGGTCCCTGGGGCAGGAAAGGCCTTGCAGACATTGTAGGGGGCCAGCTCCCTCTCTCCATCTGGGTATCTCACTGGGACAGATGCAACCATGGCACCGCTGGGACACACTGGGCAAGTGGGGACCTGTGGCCATGCCCCCACAATGCCCCCAGGACGTGCTCCCAGGGGTGCCCCCATGCAAGGTGGGGTGCTGACACCCACGGTCTCTTTGTCCCCCAGGGCCCCCCGGTGCAGGTGCTGCGGCGCTCGGCAGCCGGTGTGCCCATGCAGGTTTACGTGCCCGAGAGCAGCGAGATCGTCACACAAGTGTGAGTGCCCACACCCCCACCCCGGGGCGGGGGGCACATCCTGGCTGGCCCAGGGATGGCAGGGATGTCTTGTGCCTCCCCACCCTGGTGTGGGGGCATAGGCAAGAGCCACAGCAGAGCAGCAGGGGCTGGTCCCCACCTTGTGTTCCCTTACTGACACTGGGATGCTGATGGTGTCACTGTGACCCCAGTACTTACAGTGACCTTGATGTCACCACCATCCTCAATTTGGGGCTCCAGTCTCTAATAAAGGTGTTTTTTTGGGATATGTCACCCTCAGGATGTGCCACTTCCATGTCCCCTCTGAGGTCCCCCATCCCTGGGTCCAGTTGGCATTGCCAGAACGGGACTGTGTGAATTTGGGGTCTGGCTGTGCTCAGGGCACTAATGGGGTGATCCCAGTGCCAAGAGAGTGCCCCATATGCAGCTGTGCACCCCTGGCACTCAGTGACCCTGGCTGGGATAGCAGGGCTTGGAAAGGGGCAAGGAGTAGAAGGGAAGGATGGGATGGAGGTAGGGGTGCAGGGCATGGGGTTGGGTTGCAGGAGGGTGGACAGGAAGGGTGCGGATTTTGGGTGGAAGGATGGGTGAAGGGATGGGGCGTAGCGGGAGAGAAATAAGGTGTTCAGGGAAAGGATGGAGGTGGAGAAGGGGTGCTATGAACTGAAGTGAATGGGTGCAGGGAAGGGATGGAGTGCAGGGGAGGCAAATAAATGCGGGGCTGGGATGGGGTGGAAGAAGGGGTGCTGGGAGGGGAAATGCTGGGGAGCAGGGGGTAGGGAAGGGATTGGATGCAGGGGATGGGATGCGGGGTGTTCAAGGGAGTGCAAGGATCAGCGAAAGCATGGGGTGCAAGAAGAGAGGAAGTAAGTGGTGCCGGGCGGGGTACAGGGTGGGGGGGGGTTGGGGGGGCAGTGCCAGAGAGGCCACTCCGATCCCCGCATTCCCGCCCAGCCTTGCCATTACCCGGGGCCGGCGGTGCCGCTCCTCCCGGTGGCTGCGGCGGGAGGCGGCGCCGGTGGGGGCGGGAGACGGTGGGGACACGGGGCAGCAATCGAGCGCCGCCGGACTGCGGCGTCACTGCGGGCCTGCGCCGGCCCCGCTCCGGCACCGGACGGCACTGGGAGACACCGGCAGAGGAAGCGGCCCTGCGGCACCGGCACCGGAGGGCACCAGGACCGGCCCCGGGAGCGGTCCCGGTGCCGCAGCGCAGCCACCGCCCCTGCCCCGGGCAGCGCTCCTCACCCGGCCCGGCCCCGGGATGGGGCCCGGCGGCCCGGGGAGCGGCTGGCCCCTGGCCGGGACCCTGCTCGTGGCCGTGGCCGCCTCGATGGGTAAGAGGCATACGGGGACCGGGGAGGGCAGAGGGACCCGTGCCACCCTGTGACGGGACACGGTGCAATCGTCCGTGACACGGGGATCCCGCTGGGTGGAACCCGGTGCCACCGGCCATGACTGTGAGTCGTGCCCTATACGGCCCCTTTGACCGGGGGCTGCTTGCACCAAAGTGCTCCCCTGGGCACTGTGTCCGCCCCCCAAAACCTGCCTCCTATTTGCTGCTTTCGGGGTGACCCCGGGAGCCGCTGACCCCCGGGAACAGCAGGCACTGAGCCGGTGGCTGCCCGAGCTGGGATGCCCAACCCCAGGGAATTTGGGGTTTCCCACGCACAAACCCCGTGCCTCAGTTTCCCCACTTGCCCCTGAGCTGTCATGATCCCGGTTGGGAGTGCATGGATGCCATTTGAGACCTCTGCAAAGCCCATCCCCGTGGCTCCCCAACTGCTGCCTTGTGCCTCTGGCCGCCCCCGAGCCTCGGTCTGCAGCTATTTCTGGGAAGACAGGTGGCTCCAGCCAGAAATAGAGCGGGAAGTGCCACTGGAACATGCCGGAGGGGGGGAAACTGGGGGGTCTGGGGGGATCTGGGGGGGTAGGGGAGCTGGGTGGGATGGAGGGGGGGGTCTGCAAGGGTGGGATGGATGGAATAGGGTGTGGGAAACATAGGGGCAGGGTTTGGAAGAAAGTGGGGGTACATAGGGGCAGGATGGAGCAGGATTTTAGGGGATATGGGGCAGGATAGAGCAGGGGTTTGGGGGTACATAAGAGCACAGTCTGGGGATCAATGGGGCATGATGGAGCAGGGTATGGGAGATGTGGGGCTGGGTATGAGGGACAGGAGGGCAGGATGGAGCTGGGTATTTGGGGGTTTATAGAGGCACAKTTTGGGGATCCATGGGGAAAGATGGACTGGGGTACAAGGGAATAGAGGCACAGGACACAGTGGGGTACAGACTGTGCCTGTGTGGGGGACGGAGGGCATGGGGTGCTGCCAGTGCCCCCGAGGTGGCAATGGCCAGGTGCCCCAAGGCCTCAGTGATTGGCGGCCATCCACAGTGGCTGGGGGCGAGGACTGCCTGTGGTACGTGGACAGAAATGGATCATGGCACCCTGGCTTCGACTGCGAGTTCTTCACCTTCTGCTGTGGCACGTGCCACCAGCGATACTGCTGTCGAGACCCTCTGCGCCTGCTCACGGAGCGCCAGCAACGCCACTGCCTAGCCTTCAGGTGCCACAGCCAGGGTTGATGGGGCTGGGGGCTACCCTGGGCAGGCTGGGTGCTGGTCATTGGGTGCTGTGCACTGGAGAGTGGTGCTGGGTGGTGGGCTCTGGTACTGCATGCTGGGCAGTGTTACCTGGGCCTTTGCTGGTCATTGGGTGCTGTGCACTGGGTGCTGGGTGCTGGGTGTTGGTGCTGGGTGTTGGTGCTGGATGCTGTCCACTGATACTGGGTGCTGGGTACTGAGTGCTGGGCATTCGGCAGTGCTGCTGGGCAGTGGTGCTGTTTGTTGAGCACCGCTGCTGGGCATTCACACTGAATGCTGGGTGCTGTGCACTGCTATTGGGTGCTGGGCTGTGGTACTGGGTGTTAGACATGGGTGCTGAGCAGTGGTACTGAGTGCTGGGTGCTGGGCACTCTGCACTGGTATTGAACAGGGGCACTGGGTGTTGGGCACTGGGCACTGGATGCTGAATGCAGGTGCTGGGCAGTGGTACTGGGTTGTTGGGCTGTTGGGACTGAATGCTGGGCATTGAGTGATGGGTGCTGGGCACTGGGTAGTGGTGTTTGGTGTTGGACACTGGTAGTGGGTTGGACACTGGTAGTGGGTTGTTGGGCACTGGTACTTCGCACTGGTACTCTGCAGTGGGTGCTGGGCACTGCTGCTGGGTGCTGTACACTGGGTGCTGGGCTCCTGGCATTGGTACTGGGTGCTGGTATTGGATTCTGGGTGCTGGTCACTGGTACCGGCCACTGGTTGCTATGCRCTGGGCGCTGTGCCCTGGTATTGGGCACTGCGCATTGGGGGATGGATGCTGTGGACTGGTCACTGGCACTGGGTGCTGGACACTGGTACTGAGAACTTGTGCTGGGTGCTGGGCAGCCATGATGGTGCTGAGCACTGGTTACTGTTGCTGGATGCTGGTCACTGGGCAGTGGGCACTGGTGCAGAGCACTGGCACTGGGTACTGGGCACTGCTACTGGGTGGACAACACTATGGCTGCTGGTCGTGATCCAGAGCCACTGGGTGTTGGTTCTGGATACTGGGCACTGGGCAGTGTCAGTGGGTGCTGGCTGGGGGTGTGTGCCCCGGGTGCCCCCCAGGCCCTGCTCCCCACGCCCGGGGGTCCCACAGCCCCAAGACCATCGCGGGCATTGCCTCGGCCGTGGTGCTTTTCATCGCCATCGTCACCACCATCGTCTGCTGCTTCATGTGCTCCTGCTGCTACCTGTACCAGCGCCGGCGGCACCCCCGCACCCCCCTGCAAGGTGTGGGGCTGGGGGGGGAGGGCTGGGGGTGCAGGAGGAGGGGGCTACATGAGGA